TGATATAGAATCATTAATTACGTATACAAACCTTAACAAAAACGTATCATTTCCTTATTTCGATTTCTTATAGGGCACCCATCTATATTAATAAATTCTGAAATAGTATATAATTGTGAATTTGACATTAAAAAAATTGGGGAATCATTTGATTAAATATGCAATAAAGTCTATGTTCTGAAATTTTGATATCAGTTTTTTAATTTTAAGGGATTTCAATATTGAACTTGATTTTAGGATGTTGATTCTTATCAGCATTATTATAGGTTCCTATACAAATGATTACTTTGAAGCCTTTAGTTGCGATTTGTTCAGGTATTCTGGATATCAAGTCAGAACCCTTTACAGATATATCAGGGTCAGTTTGTGATATTTTTAAAGAACCATTTCAAAAACATAAGTTAGAACAAAATCATGATATAATGAAAGCCTGTAAAGAATTCATCCAGAATGAAGAATCGAAAATTAATATGGATGAGGTTTTGGAGAATGGTTGGATAATTCTGAGGAATTACAAGATTTAGCAAAACGGATGTTAGAATCAATGTAAGTACAAATTTCACCCTTTGATGCTATGCATCTGCAGGAGATAATCAATTTGTGGGATGAGGTATACATGACCGAAGGAAGAAAAAAGGGCTTATTAACTGATAAATAATTATCCCTTAGATTATAGGGTTTTGCAGACAAATTTGCCTGCTTATTTACTATAAATTCTCTTCTAATTTACTTTTATAAATAATTAATATTTTAAAAAAAATTTTTTTTTAAATTAATTGACAATCCACGAGTCAACTAGAGAAAATTACATATAAATTTGATACAGATCATTTACTAATTTGTCTTAGTGCACTGATTTGTCAATTTCTGGTGTAACAAAATTTTTAACATATTTTTACTAAAATAGTAAAAAATAATAAAGTATATGTCATACTTTTTTTTTCAAAGCCACTAAGCCGTAAAATTTTTTTTGGCGAACTTTACTTTACCTTGGAAGCATGCGGTATTTACTATATATTATTAGATACAATAAGATTTCAGAAAGTAAATTTTTTTTTACATTTTACCAAACTTTTGTGCATATTTACTTTATTTTATAAGTAAACTAAGTTATAACAACTTCTAT